AACTTGACATACAGACCATCCCCCAGCACAGCCAAGTGCAGACCATCTCAGACACCTGCACTCAGGCCCATGGTCCTAATCATCCTCTATGCGGACCTGCTGGGTAACGCCACAAAGAACCCAAGAAGGGCTCCCACAGGACATACAGAACATCCCACAGCACAAATATGTTAAGGCAAGGGAAAGAGAAGCTAGTCTGAGACAGACACACTTGGACCTTTTTAAAAATTCAGTGTCATATATATATATATATATGACATATATATAATCCTTGATAGAGGGATATAGTAAGTATTTTGTGTTTCCACAGAAAAATATACAGAGAAATGGAACCACAATCTCACTCTCTTCCCTGAGTTCTGTCTCCTTTCTCCTTCCTTGCATCCTACTGGCAGAGTTCACGAGGACTTGGAAGACCAGGGTGCCCACTCATTTTAGATACTGGGAGAAGATAGAGCTGAACAAAGGGTGAATGTGGCTTCTAAGGAACACTTAGGAAATGTATATGACAAAGAGTATTAGTGAAATAACAGAAGTGAGGAAATAATGCATATAAGTATACAAAAGGTTCTGATAGCTGTGGGTACTATAAGAAAAAATTAACCTTACTTCACTTCAACCAAATAAGAAGGAAAAATTAATCCTGTTTCCCACTCTAAACTTCAAATGAGAGGAGTAAATCCTCACATGGCGAAAGTGTAACGAAACAAGAATTCACACATGAGAAAAAAATATAAGAAAAAGAAAGTATCAGAGGACAAATGCATTAAACAAAATCAGGATGCAGACTCCTGGCAAAGGAATTAAGTCCATAAGATAAAACACACTGGAATAGGAAAATAATCCAAACAGGGAAATAAGTCCTATATTACAAATTAAAATGTATAATCCTATAACATAACGTTGTTAGAAATTGCTAATTCAAGAAAGTACATAATGATTCAACAGTGGAGAACATTACCTTATGTATTCTAGTTCAGAGGAGGAAAAGAGTTCTGTGTGTGTAGACAGAGTCTTGGAGTCTCGGTACGTAACCATAGCTGCAATCCTCAAGCCTGTCGCCTCAGATTCCTTAGTTCTGGAATGACAGATAAATACTTTCATGCCCAGCATTTCCTTCTTTTTGCTATTTTTGAATGTTTAGAAAAACTAAAATTAGTAATCCATGAAGATACAAAGTTTCAATTAGATTAAAAAAAGAGTGGTGAGTATGGAAGATCATGTACATATTGGGGTTGGTGAGACAGCTCAGTGAATAAAAGCACATATTGTTTTTGCAGATGACCTGAGTTTGGTTCCTAGCAGCCATTTTTTTGTTGGAATAACAACCACCTTTAACTCCAGTTTTGTAGAATTTTATACCTATTCTGGCTTATGTGGTCACACACAGAAATAAAAACATGTTTTTACTGAAAAATTTTCATATTTATGTTAGTTACATAGACTGAAATGCCATGTGGTACAGTACACGCAGGTCTTAAACAGGTTAAAAAGTAGCACAATTACGAGTGACAAAAGGTCTCTGTCTAGAACCCTTTGAAATTTAGTGTCGAGTTTTCTTCCCAGAAAAAGTCATATCTATATCAACATTCCAAATCATTCCATACATTTAGGATTTGTTGACATGTGGTCATGAAATGTGGAGATTAAGAATACACTTAAGGATGATTTATGTATCAGATACTTTTCTGTTTCTATGATAAGATACCCTGACAAAAAGCAAGTAAGAAGTTATTTCATTTTACTGCTCCTGAGTACTGGAATCCATCCTGGCAGGGGGTGTGGTAGCAGAACTTAGACGTGGCCTGTCAGTCAGGAAGTACAGAGATCACATTTCATTCATGCACAAGAAGCAGAGAGAACAGGAAGTGGATCCTGGCTATAAAATCTCAAAGCCAAATTCTAGTGACAGACTTACTTCCTCCATGAAGGCTCCACATCCTAAAGGCTCCCTAACCCCTCCAAACAGCACCACCTACTGGGCACCAAGTGTTGAAACACATGAGCCCATGAGGGACATTTCTCATTCAAACCACAACACTATAATAATCATTAAAGTTTGTGAGTATGAGAAGTATGCCATCTAACACTATTATCACGCATTTATAACAAAAGCTTACAGTAGTAAGAAATTAAAGAAATAACAAATTTACAATAATTAGAATGACAAAGCTGTCTCTGTTTTCCAAGCATTGAAGTTATCTATTCAGTCCCAACAGAATCTTGGGGGCTGAAAGTAATAAGTTATTGGAAGTAATATGACTCATTAACACATGAATGCAAGTTAAATATGTAAAAACAATAGTTTTCTTGTTTCCCGGTAAACAAGAGAGATAATAAAATAGATAGGAATATATATTCTATTGACAGTCTTAAATGAAAAATCTAAAAAAAAATATTCAGGGATATCTGACAGTAATATACAGGAACTCCATAAATAATATACTTCTGAAAATGAATTTGTAATAAATGGAATAGCATAATATGCTCTGGTAAACAACAGATTTGTACAAAGGTAATAATTCATCAAAGTATGGTTAAGTCTTAATAGAATTTTAATTAAATTCTGGTAACATCTAGTTGAAAAACTTCAAATGTGTTTCTTAAATTAAAATGAGATTAGAACAAATTGGAAAAATTCCAAGCAAATTAAAGATAGATTAATGGTGATAGGCACACTGCAAGGTAGCACAACATTTTATATACCTATAGCAATTAATAGAGTGAGCACAGTACTGACAATCAAGCCTGTAAGATATCAATGGAACTGAATAATTAGCCTTACAGAAAAAAAAATTCTGGTTGAGCATGGCCTGATGTGTTATTTGAATTGCATTAGGGAGGCTAATTTTATCTTACCTTTTGGAAGAATAAGAAAAAAAAAAGGATTATTCCCAGTGATTTGGACGAGCAGATCTCTGTGAGTTCCAGGCCAGCCATGGCCACACAGTGGGACCCTGTCTCAAGACAAACAAACAAACCACCAGCAACAACAACAACAAAAGCATTGTTTCTGTTGTGGTGGTTTGCTATTCATTAACATTAATTTAAGCTAATTGAAGGTATTCTGTGAAGGCATTTAGAGATATATCCTTACACAACACGTTCCTCAAGGAATGACATGCCCATTGCCCCCTTTCACTCCTAAAACTCCAATGACTCCCCAGGAGACCTGCACAAGAAAGGATCCACCAACAGTCCCTCAAGGAAAGGGAGTGGACTCCACAGTCCCCACTCATCCTTGAAGACATGGAAGTAGTTATGGGTGCTAGGAGGTAAAGAGAAATGTTTTCTTCAGTCCTGTAGCCTCTCAAAAGTCCCAGTATGCCCACCACTAACCCTGTAAATGATGTTCCTGAGAATCACCCCAGTTAAACTCAGAGTATACCAAGCTACTTTTCCCTGAAAGTTATTCTTCAGTCTATCATTAGTGTTCTAGCTGGGGTGAATAGATGATTATTATTTTCCCCAGGAAACAATTCTATAATTTTTCATTTCCCTATATCTGGCTATGTATTTTGTTGTTTACAAGCTAGATCCATATGAAGATACATCTGCCTTCAGAGTTCACAAACCATAACTTTTATTTAGCGAAAATAAGTGATGAACCAATGAAAAAATGTCATCATTTGCCTTGAGGTACTTTCTTTACACAGAGAATCCTGTTACAGTCTGTTTTGCTTTTCTGTTTTTTTTCCCCTATGTAAAACATGTTCACAATAAACTTCATTTATTTTTTAAACTCTGTTGAGCAAGATATTGGAAATCATCTCAGGATTTGCAAGGTAGAGGGAGGAGAATCCAGAATTCAAGGCTAGTCTCTGCTGTATAGTGAATTAAGACTGTGAGGGCTACAGTACACATTATAATAAATAAACAAACAAACAATAATCCAACTTAATTATCCCAACATGAAAAATACATGGTACATATCTAAACAGAGAATTCCCAATAGATGAAACTCAAATGTCTGAGAAATACTTAAAGGGATGTTCTACATACTTAGCCATCAAGGACATGCAAACCAAAACTACTTTGAGGTTCTATCTTACACCTGTCAGGATGGCTAGGATAAAACACAAGTGAGAGAATCTAAGTGGATGTCTCCAGCAGATCCCTCCCCTCAGAGCTCAGGGAACCCCATGGAAGAGGAGGCAGGAAGACTTTAAGAGCCATGGGGGACAGAGGACAGCAGGAGAACAAGTTCTTCTAAATCAATTAACCAAGGCTTATATGAACAGAGACTGAAGCAGCAAGGACAGGGCCTACACAGGTCTGCACTACATCCTCTACATATATATTCTAGCTTTTAGCTTCATAGTTTCGTGAGACTCCTAAGTGTGTGAAGGAGTGGGTCTCTGATTCTTGGGCCTGTTCTTGGGGCTCTTTTCCTCCTGTTGGGTTGCATTACACAGACAAAATGTGATGTTTTTTGCTTTATCTTATTTTATTGTGTCACGTTTGGTTGTTATCTCTTAGAAACCTGTTTGTCTAGTGAGAGACAGCAAATAAGAGAATATGGAGGGGAGAATGAGTGGGGAGAAACTGAGAGGAGTAGAGGGAAGGGAAACTATAATCAGGACATATTGTATGAGAAAAGAATCTATTTTTTTTTTTTTTTGTGGTTTTTCGAGACAGGGTTTCTCTTGTGTAGCTTTGTGCCTTTCCTGGAACTCACTTGGTAGCCCAGGCTGGCCTCGAACTCACAGAGATCCACCTGGCTCTGCCTCCCGAGTGCTGGGATTAAAGGCGTGCGCCACCACCGCCCGGCCTAAGAATCTATTTTTAATAAAAGGGAAAATAACAAAAATAAAAAAAAACAAAAAAGCAAACCTGCAAGTAAATAAATCTACTACTGGGTGCAGTGTTTGGGTTCAAACACTTCTAATTTTGTCTAATTCCTAAGGGACAGTGAGCTATGCTATACAGCACAGTGTGGCTGTGGTCTCCTATGGCTATGTGACACTTCTCCATCCTTTTCTGTCACTGTTTCTGCCCTGTATTGTCACACTACTTCCATGGTGATAGTGTGTTCCCCAATATACTGTGCACCCTAATAAACTTATCTGGGGTCAGAGAACAGAACAGCTATCAGACAGACATAGAGGCCAGAAAATGGTGGCACTCACATCTTTAATCCTAGCACTTGGGAGGCAGAGATCCATCTGGGTCTCTGTGAGTCAAAATCCACACTGGAAACAGCCAGGTATGGTGACTCATGCTTTTAATCCCAGGAAGTGATGGCAGGAAGCAGAAAGGTATATAACGCATGAGACCAGGGACTAGTGCTGGTTAAGCTTTGAGGCTTTTGAGCAGCAGTTCAGCTAAGACCCATTTAGATGAGCACTCAGAGGCTTCCAGTCTGAGAAAACAGGATCAGCTGAGGAAGTGGCAAGAAGAGGAAGCTGTGGCTTGTTCTAGTTCTCTGATCTTCCAGCATTCACCTCAGTACCTGGCTCCAGGTTTGTTTTTATTAATAAGAACTTTTTAGATTCTGCTACATCAATACATTTTCCCCATGGAGAAGAAATGAAAGTTTTAGGTATATATATATATATATATATATATATATATATATATATATATATATATATATATATTACATATACATATATAGTACACATATCACATCTGTGTATATACTTATACATATACAACATACACATATATAGGCACATATGTGTGTATATGTGTATACAGGTATATATGGCATATGTATATGTATACACACATATATGTTTATATATGTATAACTATCTATATTTGTTATAACTCTATCATCTGTCTATCTTTATATATATATATATATATATATATATATATATATATATATATATGGTTCTGTGTTGTTTTCAGGGAGCCTAGTACAAAATACTATTCAACATATTAATAAAATGTATGCATAATTACCACATTCTTTAGTACTTTGTGGTAGCACTGTCCACATCTATGGTATGTTTAACTCTTAAGACAACTTGAGCTATCTTAAAGTGACAGGCCCCTCATCAATTCTTGCCCCAAGCCTATTGGAGAGGGAGGATATCTTTATCTATGCTCTCCTCTCTGGATAAAAAAGTTTT